TTGCTAAAACGATTCATGAGTTGTTGGAGGTCTTCAGCAGAGTGGGCAACAACAGCTGCATCATCAGCGAACAGGAAGTCCCACATGCATTTCAGTTGGACTTTGTCTTCACTCTCAATCTAGAGAGATTAAAGAGCTTTCCATCTGATCTAGTTTGGAGATAGACACCTTCTGATGTAGTTCCAAAAGCGTCCTTCAGCATTACAGCAAAAAAGATCCCAAAAAGGGTCGGCGCGAGGACACAGCCCTGTTTCACTCGGCTTCGGATGTCAACGGGATCTGATGTTGAGCCATCAAAAACTACAGTGCCCTTAATTCCCTCATGAAAGGACCTGATGATGTTAAGGAGTCGAGGGGGACATCTAATCTTGGGAAGGATTTTAAAAAGGCCAACCCTGCTAACCAAATCAAAGGCCTTTGTGAGATCCATGAAGGCCACAAAGAGTGGCTGTTGTTCTCTACATTTCTCCTGCAACTGTCTGAGGGAGAATACCATGTCAGTGGTGGATCTATTAGCTCAAAATCCACACTGTGATTCTGGATAGACTCTGTCTGCAAGCACCTGAAGTCTCTTCAGCACAACACGGGCCAGCAGCTTCCCTACAACGCTGAGAAGAGAGATACCACGATAGTTATTGCAGTCGCCCCTGTCTCCTTTGTTCTTATACAGTGTGATGATGTTTGCATCCTTCATGTCCTGTGATACTCTACCTTCCCTCCAGCAAAGATGAAATACTTCATACAGTCCGGTGGTGATGATCTCATTACCACCGAACTGTATAATGGGGATGTTATCCTTTCCAGGTGCCTTGCCAGAGGTGAGGGAATCCAAGGCTGCTTTTATTTCTGCTAAAGTTAGTTCACTGTCCAACTCTTCCAAGATAGATAGGCACTCAATGTTTTTAATGCTTCTTTGGTTACTACATTCTCTCCAGAATATAGCTCAGAGTAATGCTGCACCCAGTGTTCCACCTGCTGTGTTCGGTCCTGGATGATCACGCCTGTAGCAGACTTCAAGGGAGCAGATTTCTTTTGTATTGGCGCTAAAGCCTGCTTGATACCTTCATACATTGCTTTGATGTTACCTGTGTCTGCTGCTATCTGTATCTGAGAGCAGAGATGAAGCCAATAATCATTGGAATATCTCCTGGCAGCCTGTTGGACTTTGCTACAAGCAGCTCATTGGAATATATGCTGTTCCTAATAAGATAGCCTACAGCAGTTGGTGTATTGTGATCTCGTTCATGCCTAGAGAAAAATGGTTTTCGAGGTATTTTGGTATTGTGGATAAACCACCATTTACAATCAGAACACATTTATTTGTCTTTTGCCATAATTAGTCAACTTCAATCTAATCTGTACATTTTTAAATTTTTCTTTATTATTTTTATGCTGCATATTTCTCAGCATTGCTGGTGATTGGGGGTGGTCCAAAGAACCAAGCCTAAAAATTAAGAATTAAGTCCTAGAAATTTGGGGGAAAGATAATATGTTTGTAAAATCACTGATTTTTGGATTTCAGGAAGTATGATGATGACTGTTGTATCATCATCAGGCACTGAAGATATTCCCTTTAATTTGCAGTACTAATGAACACTGCAGAACTTCTCATCCACCTCCATCACACATGAATTTACGGAAATGCTTACTGAAGTGATCTTCTAATGTTTACTGTGCTCTGGATATCATCACTCTGATTCTATTGTTTTTCGCTGATGTACTTACTGTTCGTTGTATATTCTTGCTACTATAATATATTCATTTACCTGTGGAAACTCTAATAAAGAATAATGTGTCTTTAAAAAGGAAGACCAATTCATGGCAGAGTCAAGGGCTTTATGTGCTCTGAATGTTTTTTCAAAATTCAGCAGAATGTCTTGTTTCTTCTGGGGAGGAGCAATGCTAGAAAGATAGCTTAATATACTACAAACTTGGAAATGCTATTAATTATATTTAGTCTCCTTCTGTGCCTTTCTACAAAACAGCCATTAAAGTATGGAACAATGTTGCCTTTAACATTCCTGTGTCAATTTCTGCAGCTGACAGGTTTGAGTGTCTCCAATGGAAAAGACCAGCTTGTGGTTTTCCACACGAAAGACAACAAGGACCTAATTGTCTGCCTCCTCAGCACGCATCCGCTCAATGAGAACAGAATTGGAGAGTTGATTGGGGTTCTAGGAAGTCATTTCAAAAGGTAAGTTTAAATGCAAACCCGAGTCTGAAGAAGAATGAGATACAGACCCTCTTCTTGATGACAGACTCCATTGTTCCTCTTTTGTACCTACAATGCATATGAAGGACATTAGGCATGTGTTCTCGCATGCTTTCACAGCCGGGATCTGATTGTTGTTGTAGGCTTTTCGGGCTGTTTAGCCATGTTCTGGAGGTTTTTTTTCCTAACATTTCACCAGTCTCTGTGGCCAGCCAAATGTTAGGAAGAAAAACCTCCAGAACACGGCCAAACAGCCTGAAAAACCTCCAATGGACATTAGGTATCTTTAAATACTTGGAATTATCCTTATCACAAAACGGGGGAGCTGAGCTGAAGATTTTGGGAAGTTGGGACTACATTTGATACTGTTGAAACTGTTGTTTGTTTCTTGTTCATCTAAAACTGGATTTCCAAGCACCACATGTAACTTTATAAATATTCAGTACAGTACTAAGTAACATAAAAATTGAACATATTCTTGGAGCTGTTTCATACATGTTTGCTGAAATCCATATTTTGACTACCTAAGTAGTCTACCTCAGTAGAAGTATAAAGTATGGGAATTAAATTCCAGGTGCTCTTATTCCATTTTGCCATAACTGTCATGCCTTTAACATACAGACTTCAGATAATGTAGGCATCAAACTGATTTCTCATACTTGCCTTGTGTCTGGAAAGAGAGTATTGTGAGAAGCAGTGATAAGCTAAATCCTCTTTTACTTCCAGCTAGAGTAGATCCATTGAAATGAATGACTTGTGTGTAAACTGCATGTAATTAATGTAAATTGTGTTGATTTCAATAGGACTATTAGAATTGGGGCTAAAATAGGATTAAGATCACTATGCTGCTTCTGGTCCTGTCCTTTAAGTCCCAATAGACTATTAAATTGCATATCACATTTCTCTCTTATATCTAGTAATTATGTGCATAATTTGAAGGGTATTCAACATGTGCTTTAGAGTTCTTTCTCAACTAGATTGGATAAACAGTAGCTGATGTACAAGTAATATACTCGTTTGTTATCCACCCTGGTTTTCCATTAAAGCAGGTTCAAGGCTGAACTTTAAACTATGGTCAGTCTTGGTTGGTACGAGCTAATATCTTCTTCGCTGTTAACAAAACATGTCCTGGAGTTCAATCTTGTAGATATTTCAGCAACTCTTAAGTTGATATCAATGTAAATTTAAAATGCCATTTTTAAACTTTTGTTGTTGAAGAGTACATCACCGTCTCCTATGTGCATAATAATCTTTTTACTGCGATGTTCCACATGAGTGGTTGCTATATCCATCTTACATTCAGATCAATTATAAACTGATAATGCCTCCTTCTGCTATGCTGGGATTTTTTCCCCCATTTATCATCTTATTCCATTTTCCCTATCTCTTTTTTTATTGTCCAAGGAGCATGCCTTCACTGTAGGAATCCTCCTTGGACAGTAATCCTGAACCTCTGTGGCAAGATGCAGCTGTTGATAACCCAGAACCTCAGAGAGGGCTGCATAATTTCTCCTATAAGCACATAGAGCCCAGAGCTTGGGTCCATAGAGGAGATAGGGCCTCCTGCTAGCCGAGGAGAGCAGCTCAGAAGGAAGGCATGAGCCAGAAGGCACTGTCACAGTGCCTAAATATAAAGGAAGTTTCCTTGAGAATAGAGACCTTTTCATGGCTCTTCCTTCTGCAGAGAGCTGATACTAGAAAACTGACAGCTTGGTCCTAAATGGGAAGCAGGTCAGCTGAGCTGCAGGCTGAACATTGTCAGCTAGCACCCAGAACACTGACAAATCCTACTCTGTATCTTGAACTTTCTTTTTGCTTGCCTCTATGTCAACAACATGGTCTGCATTTCTGATATATTGTGTGTACTTGCCTTGTTGGTTTCCTCTTGACTGATCTCCCGGAAACCTAACCCTGATGCGTCTTTGATTACTCAGTAGCCTACTCCTTTTTTGAACCAACACCAAAATAGTGCAGTACTTTTATTTACTGCATAACCTGGTTAGTACATTGGCATTTTTTGCTCTGTTGAATTCCTTGCTTCTACCTCCTTTGTGTATCAGTCTTGGGTGGCTTTTTGGATGACTTCTTTGGTAACCCTTGGTAATTGCTGTCTTGTGTGTTTCCTAGCTGGTTGGTTACTGGCAGATATAGATTAGGACAACCAGTAACTGCGAACATGTAACGGTATACACAGGTATGTAGTTTATAGTACTAGGGGAGGAATAGGGTGGGTAAAAAGTCTTGATTCTTGTCTTGGTTCCATACTTTAAGAAGTGTAGTGGCCAGATACATTTTCCATGCGAGTGTGATCAAGATCACGTTTCTGTGCATTTTGAAGGAACCACTAGAGGGCTCCAGTAAAGTGGAAGCAATAGCAGTAATGATGTTGTAAACCACCCAGAGTGGTCTTCGGCTAGATGGGTAGCACATAAATTGAATTTAATTAATTAGTAACTAAGTTAATTAATTAATTTAAATTAATTAATTAATTAAAATTAATTAAAATTAATTAGTAAGTAAGTAAGTAAGTAGATCTGCTAATCCTATTGCACCCTTGAAGGATATTAATAATAATACACTTAAAACTACAGAGCTAGAACGTATCATATGGATCATTCAGTGCAGCCATTGTCAAGAAGGCACAATGGGGAACTGAACCTTCAACTTCTGACTCTGCAGCCAAATAGCTAAACCACTGAGCTGTCCAACAGTTCTGACAATAATAAAGGGATGTTAATCCTTTTGTCCCAGTCTCATAGGTAAGGCAAAGGAATTGTTACATTTACTCCTCACTGGCAAGGAGGACAAGAAATGTCCTGCTATTCTCTATAGAGTTTGGTGAGAATTGTTTTGTGATAGTTGTTTTTAAAGACCAATGCAAAATTGCCATTTCTGTGCAAACATTGCTAATTTTTTTGGTGCAAAATTGTGCAAATGTGTAAATTATCCAAAACTAGAATGCTGCTTAATCTAAGAATTTAAAACACATAGATGTGTTAATTATATCATTCATAATCCCTAGTTCTTCTGTACTTCATGCTATGTGTTTGTTGACAGGTGTATGCACTTTGCTTCTCAAAGGGAAGAAAATAGAATTTTACCCAAATTATGGAGAACTTGATGAAGGGAAGAACATTTGGTGTTCCTTTCTGCTAAATGCTATTTCTTGTAAAGCTTTAAAACTCTTTGTTGAGATGTCTTGTTGTTGAAACAGCTTTAACATATGAGAATAAGAAATTCAGTGAGTAGTTTTTCACCCTTTAGGTTCAATTAGTCTCTTTAATCCAGAGGAAAGTAGGCTTTTGTTTCTTGCATCTTAATTGACCTTGGCCAATGCACATCCTCCAGACAGTACACCTGATGCTGGGAATTTGCATTGCTGTGCAAATCAATAACTTCACAAATGTTCAAGCTGATATCATCAGAGAACAACAACATGCCATTTACAAGGGTATAGCTGGGACATAATACATACAATAGAAGATATGATACCTGAAAAAGTGTATAATATCAAGAAATCTGGTCAATGGAGGTTGTCATCCTGCTATAACAGACAATTCGCAGTGCCTTTAGAGGCAACATTATTAAGAAGAGAAAACTAGATCCCAACCATTAAAATAAATTTGTACCTTGATGGATCCACCTTCCAATTACCTTGTAATGTAGGGTGGATTAGAACACCTCATGCATAGCACGCAATGTGACAGTGATGCAAAGAATTTTTTTTCACTGCAGCTGCTACTCGGGAAGCCCCTCTGTAGCCAAAAATGCTTTCAACAACATTCTTAATGGAAACACTGGAATGTCAAGCCTTCCTTCCATCCCCTTTTAATAATGGATCACATTGCATGGTCGCTCTAGACAGAAAACCATTTTGTCTTTCTTCTTCTGTAGTGAAGTTTAATATGTTCTTCAGAGACAGAATCCTTACTCAGTTTATATCTTGCAGCTCTTAATGGCTGTGTACTGTTGCTTTCTTTGGAAGCTTAAAATCTCAACATGCATGAATAATGCACCAATGACTTTGGAAACCCAGCCAGTCCAAGAGCTGAGGCATGTAACGATATCCCCGATTCTTCCCATGAAGGCTTGCAAACCTAGGAGTAACTTAAGAAATGAAAATGCAGGAATAAGTGATACCTTTATTGGGCCATTAAGAAAATAAAACAAAAAAAAATAGAATGAGCTTTTGATGATAATTCATCTTCCTCAGGCTCTGCACCAAGGTCTTGTGGGTAGCTTCAAAATAATATGTTTATATTAAAGTCCCAAAAGTTTCATGGCCGCTGTTTGGGGCCAGGTGCAGCTTCTTAGATGGAGATAGCTATAGTTTGCAGTCTGCAAGAGCCAGTGGTTTGGAATTATGACCTATATCTCTAAACAAAAGGAGGATGGCTGTAAAGCAAATCAGGAAATGGCAAACATACTTGTGTGCCAGGGTGTTTACAGAGGTAAGCAACATAAATTAAACTGTGATGTTAAGAAATGCTATGTAAAAGTTGTATTGAAAGACCCTTCTGGCACTGCAGTCATATTCATATACTGTATGTAGATATGGCAAGAGAGCATCTTTCTGATTTTGATCTGTTTCTGCCTTTCAATGTTGTAGAAAAACTCTGTGATAATGTGCCACTGATAGCTGTTCCAGCAGGGATTAGCTGCTGTTTTGCCTGGAAGAGCATATCATGAATCTGTCAAGAGGCTTGAGAGCTATAGCTAATTTTGCACAGTGTGACAGCATATTAAGTACTGTAGAAACCTTGGGCACTGTTGTCCTAAATGTGATAAAAATTGTGAATTCCTGTTGATGAGCCCTTAGTCAAAATGTAGTTGTTTTTCCTCAGATGAGTAAAATGCAAATTAGCATTGCATGGCAAGCAAAAGTGCATTTAAAAAATTGAAATTGAGCTCCTCTTGCTGCTTGAGAGCACAGTGGGACGCTTTGTGGTATACCAGTGCTTTGCCAGATATCAAGAGGGACA